TCAAAGAACAGTTCGGAGGGCGATGCCTGAGCGTGAACGTGCATGAAGCAGCCTGCTCGACCCGAGCATCTCTCTTTTTCTGCGATTTTACAGAAAAGCAGGCAATCACAGTAAAAATGCCAGGGCTCATTCTACAGGACCAGGGCATTGCAGGAGAATGTATGAAGAAGACATTTATTATTTCTATACATGTTTTGGCTGTCACACTTCCATAATACCCCTTTAAAGATATTTAAGATTTTGACATTTTTCTTTTTCTATACCATGATAAATGTTAGTTATGTAGTTACATCAGATTGCCAGCAGATGGCATCATGCCATTAACAAGTTATTACATTCATACATTGCTACCCTACTGTTTTATTGGGGTTTGGCAGGTGGGGCCAGAAAAACCTTTTGAGGCCTCTCATACCGAATTGAAAAAGAAAGAACAATCTTTTGTAGTGTATCTAACAAAACAATCACTAAGTGCTTCAAAAGAACAAATAAATACGTAAATAAATAAAAATGATTAAAAATTATTTAAAATATAAGAATGAGAAAAATATTTAAAAAAAATATGTGATTTAAAATGTAAGGAAAGGGAAAGAGAAAATTAACAAGAAAAGGGTAATCAGTAGATCACGGGAAATGTGGAATTGGTAAAGAGAGCAGAATAAGGAAAGGGTGGTGATGAAGGTCTCACCAAAGCCAGCTTGAACAAGTGAGTCTTCAGCTGCTTTTTAAAGGAGACCACTGAGTGCACTGATCTCAGGCTCAGGGGGAGAGAGGTCCAGAGTCTGGGGGCCACAGCAGCAGATGATCTGTCACCTTTGACCTTTAGCCTGGTGCTGCACAACCAGTAGGCTTTGATCACTGGACCTCAGGGACCTGCTGGGGGTGTAGGGACTAAGAAGATTGTCATGAGTCGGTGAGTACTCCCGTCGCACATTCTATCTTTGAGGTGTTTTTCAGGAGAGGGAGGCGCCCAGCTGCTTCTGGTTAGCAATCAACGGCACTGGCTTCTTAAGGAGTTGGAGAACACACCTCGACGCGGGATGATTACTACTACTCGGTAGATTCCAGCCGTCTAGTGTTACAGTGACTTTGTACCTCTTGTGTTTGGCTTATTTCTCTGTGGACTTTTGTGCTTACGTCTTCTTCAGGATTTTTTTTGGAACATCTCTGGAGTAGAGCCGTCTCAGGATACAGTGACTCATCAGGAGACTCACCTTTGCCACATACTGTCTGGACTCAGCTTCCCAGTGTTCTTCATCTCTCCAGTCGCCCCACTCCTCTGCTTCCCACACGCTCCCTCTCCTGGATTTACACACCTCGACTCACCCAACTCTTGACCGGCCCCTCCCGATTTTTCCTCATCTCCTTTGCCCAGTAAGTCTTATCTCTGCACCTCCTCAGTTAAGACTTACTTCTCAGGACTCACCTTATTTTGCTCTCCCCTCCTCAGACGCTGAGTACGGACTTTACTCATCCACTGGAAGCTCCAGTGCGCTTTTTGTTCCAGTCTACTAATAAATACCTTTTTTTGATCTTTATTTGTGAGTGTGTTGATTCTGCATGTCCTGGGTTAAACTCCTTCCCCAGACCATGTCAGAATCATCCCGCCAACCCGCTAACCCAGCAGACTCAACCCTCTCAGATCTTCTTCAGAGAATGTCTCAACAGGAGCAGACATTACCACTGCTTATGGATCAGCTCAACGCTGCCCACAATCGTTACCAGCAGTTGGAGGCCCTAGTCCGGCAGATCCATGAGCGGGTTACGCAGCCGCTGCCACAGACTACAAGGTCGGAACCTCAAGCAGCCGCTCCTGTTGCTTCCGGACCGGGAGTTCCTGTCCCCACAGAGATGTCACATTTTCGTCCAGCCGTTTCTCCTCCCTCACAGACATTCAGCGGTGAGTTCGAAGAGTGCCACAGCTTCCTGCTCCAGTGCCGGCTTGCGTTCGAACGCTCACCTGGAGCCTTTCCCACGGACTCAAGTAAGATTTCTTACGTTATTGGAGTACTACGTGGAAGAGCCCTACGGTGGGCGGAAGCTAAGAGCCATTGTGCTGCCTTTTTAGCAGGACCTTTTGATGAGTATTTAGCGGACTTTACATTAACTTTTGGACAGACCGAGTCCGTTTCAGATATCGGAAAGAGACTCTGGAACCTGTCGCAGGGCCGACGATCGGTTGCAGACATGTCTGTGGAGTTCCGAACCCTGGCAGCTAGGACTTCGTGGAACGAGGAGGCGTTGATGGCTGCATTCACAGAGGCCCTCAGTGTTCGTGTACTGGATCAGCTGGCGCTGTGCCCCGAACCTCAGTCTCTCGAGGGGCTCATTCGCCTGGCCATCTCCATTGATAAACGTCACCAGGAGCTACGGCGCCCCGCCAGCAGTGCCAGTCCAGCTCCCATTCCTGACCGAAACCTGGGTGGTCATCGCTCCTTTTCCAAGACCCCCACAGCTGATGAACCTATGCAGATGGGTCGCACTCGCCTCACCCCAGAGGAACGGGAACATCGTTTGAGGTCAGGTCTCTGTTTATATTGCGGGCAAACCGGACACTTTGCCAGAGCCTGTCCTGCTCTGGGAAAAGGGAGAGCCCATCAGTAAAGCCGGGGCTACTGGTGGGCGGAAATTCAGACTCTTCTAGCTCCCGTTGTTCAATTCCATGCACTGTGTGTTTTAATTCTGAACAATTTCAGTTAGAGGCTCTGGTGGACTCTGGTTGTGAGCAATCTATGTTGGATGTCGGTTTGGTGAAGAGGTGGAAAATACCTACCACCCGTTTGTCTTCTCCTCTCACGGTTTCGTCTCTGGATGATCGCAGTTTGTCCACCATCACTCACCAGACCATCCCACTGCAGATAAGGGTGTCAGGTAACCACACAGAACTTCTGGCGTTTTTTGTATTTCCCTCTCCCCATCAGTCTCCAGTAGTTATTGGCCATTCCTGGTTGAAACACCACAATCCCCAGCTTAACTGGAGAACCAGTCAGATTGAAGGATGGAGTCCTGAGTGTTCTCTAGCCTGCCTTCGCTCAGCCTCACCAACTCTCCAAGATTCCACAACCTCTCCTCCTGAGAAGATTGACCTCTCCAACGTCCCTCCGGCCTACCATGACCTCCGACAGGTATTCAGTAAGGATCGTGCTTCTTCTCTTCCCCCACACAGACCTTTTGATTGCAGCATTGAGTTGTTACCCGGAGCCCCACTTCCCTCCAGTCGACTATATCACCTTTCCAAACCTGAGCGGGAGAGCATGGAGAAATATATCCAGGAGTCTCTAGCAGCCGGTCTTATCAGGCCGTCCACCTCACCATTGGGGGCAGGGTTCTTCTTTGTTCCAAAGAAGGAGGGGACTCTAAGGCCATGTATTGATTACAGGGAATTGAACCAAATAACAGTAAAGAACAAATATCCTCTGCCTCTGTTAACCTCCACTTTTGAACCCATTCAGGACGCCACCATTTTTAGCCGCCTGGATCTCAGAAATGCGTACCACTTGGTACGAATCAGACAGGGTGATGAGTGGAAGACTGCATTTAAGACTCCGTTAGGACATTTTGAGTATCTGGTAATGCCTTTCGGCCTAACTAATGCTCCAGCTGTGTTTCAGTCTCTGGTGAACTCTGTTTTAGGAGATATGTTGAATAAGTATGTGACAGTCTACTTAGATGACATTTTGATTTTTTCAAAGACTCTGGAACAACACGTCTTGCATGTGCGTTCTGTGTTGCAACGACTCCTGGAAAATCGGCTTTATGTGAAGGCAGAGAAATGTGTTTTTCATGTCTCTACTGTTAAGTTTTTAGGGTTTGTGATCGAAAGTGGGAGACTGAAGGCTGACCCTGAGAAGGTCCAGGCGGTCACAGAGTGGCCTACCCCCTTGTCACGTAAACAGCTTCAGAGATTCCTGGGTTTTGCCAATTTCTACAGAAGATTCATCAGAAATTTCAGTCAGACTGCCACACCTTTAACCAACCTCACATCCACTAACCGCCCTTTTGTTTGGTCCACAGAGGCCGAAGCAGCCTTTCAGAAGCTGAAGAGACTTTTTACGAACGCTCCAGTGCTCCATCGCTCTGACCCCCAACTCCAGTTTACACTCGAGGTGGACGCCTCAGACACCGGAGTCGGTGCCGTGTTGTCACAGGTATCACCGCTCGACCATCGCCTTCACCCTTGTGCTTTTTTTTTCTCGCCGTCTCACCCCAACAGAGAGCCGATATGGCGTGGGTGACGGAGAGCTCTTGGCGGTGAAACTCGCCATTGAGGAGTGGAGGCACTGGCTCGAGGGAGCTGAGATTCCCTTCATCATCTGGACTGATCACAAGAATTTGGTCTACCTCAGAGAGGCCAAGAGACTAAACCCACAACAATACAGGTGGTCCCTTTTCTTCTCTCGTTTCAACTTTCAGATTTCATACCGACCCGGATCCAAGAACGTAAAACCAGATGCTCTCTCGAGACAATATGCTTCTGACCAGGAGACTGAGCTCTCCACCATCCTACCCCCGGCGTGTGTTGTGGGAGGTGTGACGTGGGAGATACGTGACCAGGTACTGGAGGCACAGAGAACTGACCCTGATCCAGGTAAGGAACCTCCAGACAGGATCTGGGTTCCGCAGGCTGTGAGAAGCAAGGTCATTCACTGGGCTCATACTGGCAGATTTTCACTGCACCCCGGAGTAGGACGTACAATAGCACTCATCAGACGCACATTCTGGTGACCGGCCATGTACCGAGATGTCAAGGATTATGTTTCAGGTTGCCACATCTGTGCTCAGCAGAAGGGTGATCACCGTGCACCTGCGGGACTGTTGAACCCTCTGCCAACCCCCCTCTCGACCATGGTCTCATGTGGCTCTGGATTTCGTATGCGGTTTACCGAATTCTCAGGGGTTCAACACCATACTCACCATTGTGGACAGATTCTCCAAAGCATGCCATCTCATTCCTTTGAAAACTCTTCCATCTTCTACTGTTACAGCCAAACTGCTCATCAGACATGTTTTCCGGTTGCATGGTATCCCGGAGGAGAGCTTGTCCGATCGTGGTCCCCAGTTCATATCCAGAGTTTGGAGGGAGTTTGCAGAGGCTCTGGGGGCCCGAGTCGCCCTTACCTCTGGACACCATCCCCAGACCAATGGTCAATGTGAGCGTATGAACCAAGAACTCAGTGCTATGTTACGCTGTGTATGTTCAGCTCACCCGTCATCATGGAGTTCGCACCTCCCCTGGATTGAATACGCCCACAATTCTCACGTCTCTACAGCAACAGGTCAGTCACCTTTTGAATCCTCATTGGGTTATCAACCTTCCCTGTTCCCTCCAGTCTCCAGCCCTCGCCTCGGTTCCACAGTTTCTCCGGGGGGCCAAACGGGCCTGGGCATCCACCCGGGCGGCTTTGGACAGGACGGCTGCCTCCAACAAACGCCTTGCTGATCGCAGGCGGCGTCCTGCCCCGTCCTACGCTCCTGGTCAGGAGGTTTGGCTCTCCTCCAAGGATATCCCCCTGAAGGCATCCAGCCGCAAACTTTCGCCCAGGTTTCTGGGTCCTTTCAGGATTCTGGACATCCCCACGCCCTCTGCGGTCCGGCTGGCCCTGCCTCCCTCTCTCAGGGTTCACCCTGTGTTCCACGTGTCCTTGGTGAAGCCGGTGACCACGAGCCGTCTCTGCCCTACGCCCGCTCCTCCCCCGCCTGCACGGTTCTACAAGGGCGGTCTGGTTTATTCTGTTCGCAGGATTCTGGACTCCCGACCCCGTGGCAGGGGCATCCAGTACCTCGTTGACTGGGAGGGGTACGGCCCGGAGGAGCGTTCCTGGGTTCCACGCTCCTTTATTGAAGATCCGTCCCTCATCCGGGACTTCGAGGAGGCGTCTGCCAGGACGCCGGGAGGCGTCCGTTGAGGGGGGGGGGGGGGGGGGTACTGTCATGAGTCGGTGAGTACTCCCGTCGCACATTCTATCTTTGAGGTGTTTTTCAGGAGAGGGAGGCGCCCAGCTGCTTCTGGTTAGCAATCAACGGCACTGGCTTCTTAAGGAGTTGGAGAACACACCTCGACGCGGGATGATTACTACTACTCGGTAGATTCCAGCCGTCTAGTGTTACAGTGACTTTGTATCTCTTGTGTTTGGCTTATTTATCTGTGGACTTTTGTGCTTACGTCTTGTTCAGGATTTTTTTTGGAACATCTCTGGAGTAGAGCCGTCTCAGGATACAGTGACTCATCAGGAGACTCACCTTTGCCACAAACTGTCTGGACTCAGCTTCCCAGTGTTCTTCATCTCTCCAGTCGCCCCACTCCTCTGCTTCCCACACGCTCCCTCTCCTGGATTTACACACCTCGACTCACCCAACTCTCGACCGGCCCCTCCCTATTTTTCCTCATCTCCTTTGCCCAGTAAGTCTTATCTCTGCACCTCCTCAGTTAAGACTTACTTCTCAGGACTCACCTTATTTTGCTCTCCCCTCCTCAGACGCTGAGTACGGACTTTACTCATCCACTGGAAGCTCCAGTGCGCTTTTTGTTCCAGTCTACTAATAAATACCTTTTTTTGATCTTTATTTGTGAGTGTGTTGATTCTGCATGTCCTGGGTTAAACTCCTTCCCCAGACCATGTCAAAGATCACCAATGTAAGATGGTGCTTGTCCATGTAAGGCCCTAAAGACCAGAACCAGGATCTTGAAATGAACCCTGAAGTTGACTGGCAGCCAGTGAAGCTGGAGGAGAAGCGGGGTGATGTGGGTGTGTTTGGAGGACTTGGTCAGAAGCCGAGCACAGGCGTTCTGAACCACCTGTAGACGGTTCAGGGAGGTTCTGCTCAGACACGTGAAAAGAGAGTTACAGTAGTCTAAGCGTGAGGAGATGAAGGTGTGGAGAACTGTCTCAAGTTCAGAGGGGGACAGAATGGGACTCAGCTTAGCAACGTTCCTGAGATGGAAGAAGGAAGAGCCAACAAGAGAACTGACATGAGAATCCAGGGTGAGAGCTGGGTCAAAGGTCACGCCAATATTCCTGACAGAAGGTTTGGTGTGGGAAGCAAGCTGACCAAGAGAGTCTCTGACTTTGGGAACCAGCTTGTCTGGGGCACAGATGAGGATCTCAGTCTTATCTTCATTCAGCTGAAGAAAGCTCCCACCATCCAGGCTTTGATAGAGTCTAAGCAGGTGTGTAACAGCTGCAGCTTAGACATCTCATGGGGCTTAAAGGAGATGTACAGTTGGATGTCATCTGCATAAAGATGGTAGGAGATTCCTTTGAAAGAGCTCAGGCTTATTATCTTCAGGCTTATCTGAAGAGGAAGCAGATAGAGGCCCCAGCACAGAGCCTTGTGGGACACCATGAGTGAGGGAGGTAGCGGAGGACCGAAACTTGGAGACGGTCACAGAGAAGGAACGCTCAGATAGATAAGAGGTGAACCACTCCAGAGCAGTTCCTGATAGGCCTACCCAGTCTCTCAGCCTCTCCAGTAGCAGATTATGGTCAACAGTGTCAAAGGCTGCAGTCAGGTCGAGCAGAACCAGAACAGAACAGTCCCCTGCATCACTGTGAGTCAGAAGGTCATTAGAGACCTTAAGACTGGGGTCTCCAACATTTTTTGGCCCGTGAGCTACTTTTACACAATGAAAGTACAGGAGAGCTACCACCATACAATTTATTCACATTGATGCTTTCCGTGTGTGAATTTGCTGATGTTAAAAGTGTTCAGCAGTTATGTCATAAATGAACAAATACTTCGAAACACTATCCATTTAAAGAACATTTAATATTCTTTAGTAGCAGTTCATACAAAACATTTCAAGTAATCATTGTTATGATCACTTTTCCAAACAATGCAAAATAATTCTTCTCATAAAATGAATAAAGCAGAGAACATTTTAAATGAAATACAAGCTAAATGTGATGAAAACACAAAATTATAAATAGCTTGAACTGAAGTAAAATAAATGTAAAGATAGAAACAAGATTTCTTTCCTGCTTTCCTGATTCATTTAATCATTTTTATGGGGTTTTTTTTTTTTTTTTTTTTTGCTCATCAAAGTTGAGTTAAGCTTCAATGACTGCTGGTAAAATGATGCTTTGCTGTGTTTTTTGTTGACAATATTAAAATAAGGTTGGAGGTTTATCCTTTTTATCTGCCTCTGGATCAGCTTTGCGGGTCTGACGGCTGTGCGCAACACAGAGCAGAGAGAGAGAGGGCTTTAAAATCATGTTGAGAAAATCATTTGTTCAAACTAATACACAGGAGATGTCCAGGAAGTTTGGAAGCCTGTATTCATCATAATAAACAAACAGGCTTTTATTTGTGTTAACCAGCCTTTACCAACTTTACTGTCGCCCAAAATATTTTACTGAGGATGTTTTTCTGAAACCAGATCTTTGTAACCAACATCACCCCGTCTTCTTTAGAAGCACGTCTTCATCACCACTCTTTTTTTTACTTCCATAAAATGTATTTTAATTATATTTAGAGAAAACGGGACATCTTGCAAACAAATTAAATATCTGTCCCTCGATAATAACAAGTCTGATAGGATGGCTCGCTGGCTGCTTTCAGACGAGTAACTTTTAAGTGAGCTACTGGTAGCTCGCGAGTGATATGTTGGTGACCCCTGCCCTAAGAGGAGCTGTTTCAGCTCTACAAAAACCTGACTGGAAACTGCTACAACCTTTTCTAAAACTTTGGGGATTAACAGAAGTTTAGAGAATTTGAGCTGGTGGTACCTCTGGGAGGGGTTAGCCATTGTTGATGCCTATTGGAATGCTCGTTTATTAGTTTCAATGAAAAACCAGATGCAACCAAAACATTTAGCATAAGTTTGAGAATCACAAACGTTTAGAAACGTAATTTGAAATTTTTAAAAAATATATGTTTTGGAATTGTAGAATTTTTTAATTTGTCTGTTGCTGTACTAAAATTAAAATAAAATCTATGGAGATTTATACTTTTATTTTGAAAATAATGAGCAGCAGCAACATATATAAATATTTTATTCTGATTATTTATTCACTCATTACCTGTATATTTTTATTTATTTCTTGACTAATCAAGATGGATTTATGGTTTGTGTGAAGATTAATATGCAATTTCCTAGGGGTGACCCTGGCCACCCCTGGACATCCCTAGGGGACACCACTGCTATGAATGTGTTCTTCACTCTAGAAAACCACCTAAAGTAATTAAAATAACAGAAGAATTGCAGCAGTTTAGTTTGTGTGTTAGTTCCCTGAGGATGTGTTTAAAACGAAAGGATGTTCTCCATCTTGACCTCTGAAACAAATGTCTGACCTCAGCGCTGAGCAGCAAACAACACTGGACCTAATTAGACCAGTATGAATAAATGATCAATCACTGGGACATTACAGACAGATGCTGCTAATCGTTGAGTTATGAACATTTCATAAAGCTTCCTCTGATTTTTGTGGAACTTATTAACTTTTAATCACTCGTTCATGATTAATAAATCCTGTAAAAACAAGGTTCTGGCTCTAGCACCGACAGCTGGGCTAACCAACTGCTGAGCACTCACACACGTGTGTGTACACTAATCCTGAGTTTTTCCCCATTTTTGGGGTGCAGCACCAGATGAGCACTTAGCAAGGGTCACCAGACCCTTGTGAATAAGCAGCTCAGTGAGACTGGTGGAGTTTCTGTTCTGGGGGGGTCAGATGGGGTCCGCTTTTCAGAGACCAGTTTGCTTTCTGTTGGGTGTGAGTTTGTGTATCGGATGACCTCATTTAACTCATTTTCAGTGGTTAAACAACAAACAAAAACTTGGTTTTGATTTATCACTCAGGAATAGCTGTGATCTGTTCTGTCCTCCTGTCAACCAGCCACAGCTCCGTTCCTGCTGGATGCTACGTTGGTATCAGTGCATAAATAAAACAATCATCAGTAAAACAACCATAGTAATGTATGCACCATAACCTAAAGCCTGGTTTATGCTTCTCTGTCAGCTCCGCAAGGGACAGACACGCACGGATTGAGAGAAGCGTTTTGCTCTTTTACTTCTTCGTCTCCTGGAGAGCGTTGCAAAGCAAGTGCCCGGCAGGACCACAGAGGGCGTAGCGCTGTTCTGTGGTATCCTGTCATGTATCGGTCCAAGATCGTGTGTTTATATTGGGTTTTTTGTGTATATAAGAGACTTTTAACACGGACATATTTGTCTCTCATTCTCCCACCTCTTCATGCGCTCCCCACCTCTAAACCCACGTTTCCTGTCATTTCCGTCCACAAATAAAACGCCTGCTGCGCATTTTTTCACTCCTCCAGTCACGGGAGAATTAAACGTTCATATTTTTAGTTTTTTCGCGAGGTATTCTTCAAGCTTCTCCGTGTCTGCCGCTAGTTATCCTCAGCTCTCTTTGCAATGGCGGCGCTGTAAACAACAGCGGCGTCCTGACCAATCACAAGCTTGCGTAATCCATCTTGTTCGATGGATGTTTAAAAAAGTGGGCTCGACTCCGTACGTACTTGCGTGCCCTACGCAAGGACGGATGATGGCGTTGCGTGTCTCCGCACTGACGCAGACGGAGAAGCATAAATGAGGCTTAATTTCCATGGTTACTCCCAAAGCCTGCACTCTTTTTGGTTGCTCCTTGCTGCTGTTTGCTGCTCCCAATGACTGGAGCTCGCCGATAGATCACTTACCTTTCTCATTTCTGATCAGTTTACCTGCTTCTGACGGATTACTCCGATTATATTGTGTGTGTGTGTGTGTGTGTGTGTGTGTGTGTGTGCGTGCGTGCGTGCGTGTGTGTGTGTGTTTTAATATTATGTTTAATATTTTCTGCTCTCGCTGCTGCTTCTTGGTCAGGTCTTGGGTCGTCAATCGACTCACCTGGTTGAATAATGGTCAAATAAACAAATAAATAATGTGGACGACGGTGGCACAGGAGTTAAGTGCTCGCCTCGTAAACGGTAGGTTGCAGGTTCGAGCCTCGCTCAGTCTGTCGCTGTCGTTGTGTCCTTGGGCAAGACACTTAACCCACCTTGCCTGCTGGTGGTGGTCGGAGGGACCGGTGGCGCCTGCGTACGGCAGCCTCGCCTCTGTCAGTGCGCCCCAGGGCAGCTGTGGCTACATCGTAGCTCATCCCCACCAGTGTGTGAATGTGTGTGTGTGAATGTGTGTGTGTGAATGGGTGAATGATTGATTGTGTTGTAAAGGTTCCAGGACTCTAGAAGGCGCTATATCAAATGCAGGTCATTTACCAAATAATCACCCTAGGCACAAACATTGTTTTGTCCAAACTTTTTGAAAATTAAATTAGGAAAATAGTTTCTCTCCCATCCTTTCCGCCCCTTCCTTTCTTTTCTCCCCTGTATCATACTGAAGAATCACCCGCAAGCTTTGTCACTTGACTCTATCACCCTCCGCCTCTCTGTCCTCCTCCCTTTCATTAACCCCCCCCAAACTGCAGCCTTTGGTCTTTGTCCCTCCCTGGTCCCTCCTCATCTTTTGTCTCTTTCCCTCCAGAATTCCTCTCCAGAGGCAGGAGCTTCCCACTCTCTGTCTGTCCATCTGTCAGTCTCAACCACGAGCAGATTTTAGCTTCTCTCTCTTGAAGCCTGAAGGTGCCAAAGGTCTGCTCAGCTGGTTGGTGTGTGAGAAACCAGAGGTCACTGCTGGTTTTTACTTTGTACACACGTTGTTGTCATGTTTCTGCTGCTGACTGTAGTTTTCATTTAAAATGATTGGAATGGTCTAATTGAACTGAAATGCATGTGCAAAATGTAATGGAGTTTACAGAGCACATTATTTTCTGCAGCTGCTCAGAGAAACAAACAAACAAATCAGTTGGAGTCAAAGCAGAAAACCATATATGGAGGAAGGAGCAGTGTTTTATATGTTTCTGTTTGATGTCCTGCAAAAAACCTCAGTAGGCGGATGAAATGTCGCGTTTGTCTTGGTCCCCCAAAAAGAGTTAGATAGCTTAGCGTGGCACATGCTGTCATAAATGAATCTTTGTGGGCATCCCACCGATTCCAGAGCAACCTCCAGACCCCTGCGCCAGTTTCGCCCGAACAAGCTGATTGTAAGGATAAAACAAGTCCTGGTCTGATTGTGTCTTCACAAAAAGAATCTCTTGTTTCTGTCTTTAGAAGAAAGAAGCAAAACAACTTCTCCCTTTTTGTAAAGATTAGATGAATAACCCTCTAGATGAATGTCACCTCTGGTTGAGACTAAACTAGACTTCCATTAACAAAGGCTGTTATGGGAGTTTTTCATAAGTCAAACTTTGGGAAACAACTAAAACAAAATATGTTTTTTTTTTAAATGTTACATATCTATCACACATATTATAATGCTCCACACTAACATATACACAAAGCCTGATAGCAAATCTCATTAGTTTTCAACTTTATTCTGAAAAGACATCATTTCTTATCATCTTATTGTATAATTAAAGCCAGTGGCTTTTATTTTTTCATTCTTGACTACTTTGCCGTTCTAACAAAGGTTGTAACTAGTTGTATTTACTTTTGCATTCATGTCGTGGCAACCAGTTAGTGAACGCAGTGGTTGTCACAAGATCAGCACAGCAGGAGGGTAGCATCCCAAAATCAAATTGTTCTGGAACAGCGATCAGATCTCATGCACATCCCCCCCACTGACAGTTAAAAGGCATCATCAACACAACCAGCGATGACGTCACACACACACACACACACACACACAAACACACACACACACACACACACACAAACACACACACACACAGACACACACACACACACACACACACACACACACACACACACACACACACACACACACACACACACACACACACACACACACACACACACACACTGCCTCGGGGACAGTTTTCTGTTGATTAAAGCCCCAGCATGGCGTTGAGCTGGTGCTGGGTAACATTCTGACAGTGCTTTGAAACACAGTTACCATTACCTGAACTGGAGCCGTTGGAGCTGAAACAAGTCACATCCATGCAAACACGCCAAAGTCAGCCAAGACTCTAAAACAGGACCTGAAAGTATCGCCTCCGGTCACTCGGTGGTTCATACATACTAATACCTCTTGTGCAATGACTCCCTCACCTTCAAGCCCCACTTAGACAATATGTGAAGAAACTCAAACTCAGATTGACGGGAAAAGTAAAAACTGTGACATCTTGGATAATAAAAATAATTTAGGAAAAATTGTGAGTTTTAACAGTTCATTCATGAAAAGAGGCTAACTGGTCTTTTCACGAATGAACTGTTAAAAGGCACATGAGCTTGGGGGCTGATCTGGGAACACATTCTTTATAGAAATCCCTACAGTTGCTACCACAACCTTCTAGCTGCTGCCGTGGCTTTTCCTATAACCAACTCAAACAGGTTCACAGACAGTTTTAGACCAAAGAAAACAAGACTCTGTTGAAATCAGCATTTAAACATTCTTTAATTCAGCTGTCCTTAGGTTGCAGGTTTAGTTGGAAGCAGGAGGTTTAATTTGGACTGAAACATCTTCCCTCTCTTTTGTTTCCTTTTTCGGATCTAGGGTGTGGAGCTTGGAGCCAAATTATTCCGTTTATGCACCTCCAGTAAAGGTCAATAAACCCAATTAGCATTTGCAATGCCAATCACTACTTTAGCAGGACAAAGTATACTAATGAATAGCTGAAGCTCTCCCACTCTGCTTTGCTGAAACGATGCCTTCCTGTTTGTACTGATGACCTGCGTGCATTGAGCTGCATGCTTTAACTGCAGCGGGAAGTGTGCATGAAAGTTTGGACCTCTTAAAAGATCATTTTACAATAATCAAGCAGGAGAAGTTGTATAAACACATAGAAAGTCTCACACAAACCCCAGCTGTTTTAACAGCTCTCTGTTTTCCTCAGGCAGCCAATAGTCTGGTTAAACTGGTTACATGATCCCATGATTTACTGCTCGAAATTTGTAAAATTTTGTTTATCCCATGAAACAAGGCTTCATGCTGAACTGCTTTTATTCTCAACAGTAAAAATAATTTTAAACGGGGATTGACAGAAGCAAAACAATCCAACTATGGCAAAGATTAAAATTACTCCATGGATGCTAGACATTTTGACTGGGGTGAAAGGGTTAATCTCGGTCTAGGTTTTCTTTTGTTTGGGTTTCTTTTGGGGGGGGGGGGGGGGGGGGTTAATGTTTGGGGGAAACAAATAATCAGTTAACATCCAAAACTGGTACAAGATTTACATGATGCGTTCATATCTTCGGTAGCTGAACATGTGGTGCTGTGAAAACATCATAAGTAAGCAGCTGTCTTTAAACGTAGGTCAAAAATATTTAGATGTATTTTTTTCCAATTTTGTGCTATTTTGAACTATGTATCAAATCAATTTACCTCTGGGATTAATAAAGTATTTTTGAATTTAATTGAATTGTACATTTGGAATTCAAAAGAAATAATGTTTGATTCATTCTTGACAGGTCTAAAGTTAAAGTTAAAGTCCCATTAGTTGTCACACACACAGGTGTGTGTGCAGAATTTGTTCTCCGCATATGACCCATCCCCTGGGGTAGCGGTGAGCTGCAGACACAGCCACGCTCGGGAACCATTTGGTGGTTTAACCCCCCAATCCAACCCCTTAATGCTGAGTGTCAAGCAGGGAGGCATCAGGTCCCATTTTTTCAAAGTGTTTGGTATGACCCGACCTGGAATTGAACCCTGATCTCCCAGTCTCAGGGCGGACACTCTACCACTAGGCCACTGAGAAAGGTTGGATTAATCAGTTCATTTAAAAAAGCAATCCAATATAAAGGCAGTGGTTATCTGATTGTTTGTGAACAAGTGATGTTCAGTGGCTTGGCCTGCCAGACATCCTCTGTTTAATTCTACACACAGAACTAACGCCTCCATAAGGAAGCATGGGGCTGACTGGCTGCCAGGCTAGATGTTCAGTGGCTTGACTAAAGTTTTCATGCCAGATTGATAGAATCTGAGTGTTTTAGTTAAACATTTGCAGAGTGACTGCATCATTAAATGTGAAGGTAAACAATGCAGTTTTGGTGAAAATATGCTGGTGTCATGTCCACTCCTATTACATGATGCGTAGGAATGTATTCATAAATTATATCATTAATGATTTGACTTAAGAAAGACTTAAAATGCAGACTAAAATATGATCAGACATGTTTATGGAGACTAAGAGGATGGTTAGGTCACATCCTCTCTCCTCTCTATCCGGTGAGAACAATGGAGAGTCGCCTCGGGCGTTGATTGGTTATTCAGGTGTAACAACGCTTCTGATTGGCTGAAAAGTTGCCGCTCCTTGGCTTTTATTTTGAACATTAACGTGAACAGCCTCTCTCGTTCTTCTCAGAGAGCAGAAGCTGTCAGGGTGAGCTGAAGCTGAGTGCTGCTGCTCTGACAATAACAGCAGTTATGTGGCTCTAGTCTTTTCACAAGGCCGAATGAGTATTTGACTCCAAACGGAGCTACCGAGTCACCTAAAGTCGGTGCTTCGGATCATATTTTTGGACATGTTTTCTTAATTTGCTGCTACCTCGCTGGTTAGCTTCCGGGTTCGCGTGACGTTTTTACTGTGTTGCTATTTGGCTTTATCTGCTTCACAGCTCAGATTAAATCCATCACGAAGTGCTATCGTCTCCAGGTCTTCCAGATTGGATCGCAGTAACGATGGAGTCCCGTTTTGGCAGCACTAGTCCGGTTAGCGCCGCATTTAAACGCAGGCCTGACGGGATCCACGGCCTTTCCTCACTCACTTTGCCCGACGTGAGCGGCTCGAGCGCGCACTGTAGGACTTTGTTCTCGCCCGGGCCGGCGGCGGTTCTGTCTCCGGTCACCAACTTGGCTCTGGACATGAACAATTTAGCCGGACTTGGGAGGTACTGTATGAAGTTTGTGGGTTACTTGAACCTATTTCTTCTTCCTACCAATGTTAACCTTTTTATACACAATGTTTACATGAGTTAATGTTTTTAATCGCAGCCAGTACGACACTCCTAAGAGAAGAAAGTCTCCCCCCCTTGAGAAGGTCCCCTCTTTTGCCTCTGATGCCTCCTCTGATGCTGGTGAGCTCGTTTTTTGTGTGCCATGCGTGAATTCCTGTGTTAATAGGATGCTTCACATCTACATCAGTACATTCATGTGTGATTAACTGGGCAGCAGAAAGCTTTTGGTATTTTTCCATCACCCGTTTTTAAGCTGATTGGTACTCTTTGGTTCTTGCATACATTTTGAGATTTCCATTTGTTCTTCAGGCCTTGGTC